ACACATCATCTGACTTGAATGCGCATTGTGAAAAATAAAGGTAAGGTACTATTAAGGAAAACACGCCAAGGTGCGGAAGGAAGAGATAGTCACCTTTGTACATACACATTACACTCTTTCATGATTGAAAATGAACATGAAACATCCCAGACAAGTTGGGTGAAAGTTCTGTTGATAAAAACACACAAAGGTGTGGAGGTAAGAAACAGACATCTACCCAAACCGCAACACACATCCAGTGAGAAGAAAATTAATCTGAACACAAACAACTATTGAGGTTCTTATCATCATGAGCCCTCCAAGTCTTGGTTACTTATAAGTTGCAAAGCAAGTTATGAGTAACTAACAAAAGTTGCTTATGACCCAGTCATAAGCAATTTTTTATTTTCATGTTAGAGAAAATAATAACCTTCAATCTAATCATCTCATCCTGGTAGAAATGATAATCTATCTATAAGCATCAACTGATTTTAATGCGCATTGTAAGGAACAAAGGTAAAGTACTATTGAGGAAAACACGTCAAGGTGCGGAAGGAAGAAATAGTCCCCCCTGTGAATACACCTTACATTCTCTCATGACTGACAAATAGACATGAAGCACACTAGGCAAAGGGAACGGAAGCTCTGTTGAGGAAAGCACACAAAAGTGGAAGCAAGAAACAGACACCCAATTACCTATGACCCACATCTAAGGAACAGATAATCAATCAGATCACAAATCTCTATTGAGATTCTTCTCACCATGAGATCCCAAAATCCTGGTTACTCATGAGCTGCAATGCAAGATATGGATAACTAACAAATGTTGTTCTTAATTCACAGTGTGAACTATGAGCAGTTTTCATTTTCATGCTAGAGAAAAAAAAAATCCTTGACCCCAGACAGGTCCACTCAACATGATGAACTCCACACTGAATACCCCAAGTCACCTGGATGGTCACTGTGGAAAGCAGAGATAGAAACAATATTGAGACAAATTGCCACAGCTCAGATAACAGGAATGACTATCTGTGTAAGTTCACTGTACACTCAGTCATGTGTTAGAATAAAAACACATGACATATGAAAAGAAGTCTGTCTTAAAGCTTTCTTGATGAAAACATACCTCAAACATCGGAAGAAAGAAATAGATGCTTGATTACCTTAAGTATAGAACTAATAAATAAGTAATCATATTGATTACCAATGCTTGTTTGAGGTCTCTCCCAAAACTCAAAATGTTAAACAGTGGTATACCCAAAAAGAAATACCAATAAACAACTTTGTTCACAAGATATGAATAAACCTACACTGAAAGTGGATAACCTAGATTACCACTGCCACCGGGAGAAGGGTACTGAAAACCCTCAATAAATCCCACCACTATGCCACATCTTTCCTTCTCTATTTCTACACCTATGCCCTATGCCCCCCTTCTTCTCTCTTAATAGGTATCTGTAAAATTATATCTTTCTCCAGCAAAAGATATATTATATGAATACCCCAACTATACTCACAAACATAAACTGTGTGAACAAATCCCTCATGGCTATACCACAAACTATACTAACACTGAAGTGGGATAGCCAATACACAGATACACAACTGAGGTATCAAAGGCTGCAGTCTGAATGACAAGACAGCTCAAAAGAAAAGTCTATTACCCACACTAAGATCCACAACTGTGGTAAAATGCCTACATCACAAACCACAACCTACAACAGACTCAGCAGAGTCCCCTAAACCTAAAGGTACAGTAATACTAACTCCCAGATAAAACCATGATACCTACAACAACCACAATGTAACAAATCCCAGGAAACTGGATTTAAATATACCCCAAATATGTTGTGGTATGTCTCCCCCCTCAAGCATTGTACATCAGTATATCATACAATGCCTGGTATCTCAAAATACAGCATACATGAGGCTCATCTTTGGAAAACCAAAATAAAACCCATACACTTATTGGTCTACCACCAAAGTACATACACGAAATTGCAACAATACATATTATATTAAATGAAATATAGTAGGGCAATGTGTAAGAATTAACACATGAGAATCAACATCAAACCCAAATACTTATTGATACACTACCAAATTACATATATGTACTTGAAACAACTCATATTATCTTGAAATAAAAATATAGTGGAGCCACATGTAAGAACCAATACATAAGAATCAACACCAAACTCATATGTTTAATGGGATACTTCCAAATTACATATACGTAATTGGAACAATTCATACTGCCTTGTAATATGAATGTAATGGGACCACGAGTAAGGAAGAATACATGAGAATCAACATCAAACCCAAATACTTATTGGTATACTACCAAATTACATATACATAATTGAAACAGTTCATGATATCTTATAATATGAACATAATAAAACCACAAGTAGAAATTAATACCTGAGAATCAACATCAAAACCATATACTAACTGGATTAATTACAAATTACATATATGTAATTGAAAACAATTTATATTATACTGTGATAAGAATATAGTAAAATCACATGTAAAAATCAATACCTGAAACTCAACAACAAAGCCACACACTTACTCGATTACTACAAACTTACACATATGTAGTCAAAACAATACACATCGTATTGTAATGATAACACAGTATGACAACATGTAAGAACTACTACCTAAGAAACAACAATAAATCTACAAACTCACTGATTTGTCAACAAATTACATATGTATAATGAAGATAATTTATATTATATTGTAATAATAATATAATAGAAACCACATGAAGCAGTTAACACCTTCAATACCCCATATTAGATAAAACCATCACCCATGTATCCCCATAAAAAAGGTTACATAGATTGTTTATGCCAACAGCTGGGTTTGAACCAAAGGTACCAGTCCCAAGCCCTGTGAGAGCCACAGGGCCAGGACATGAGGAACAGGCCCCACAGGGCATGTTTAGTCACACATGTCACTATCAAGTGACAGATATGTCCCCTTCTACCCCATAGCACGTGAAACACTCAAAGCCATAACCCTATATCAACCCTAACAGGGTTGATATACCCACATTAAACCTAAGTATCGGTCAGAGCGCTGATATTGCTACAATCCAAATACATACTCCTCAATACCACATGACCAGTACTGCCCGATATCGGACCGTGGACCCAAGTACCCGCCCAATATCTATCACAGACAGTAGACCTGTCATCCAACTACCCTTCCACCAATATCCATGGAACTCAAAGGAAGAAAACCCCTCCGCCACGTTATCCTGCTACAATCTTCACCTTGAATCAACCTTCAACTAAATGAAGATACACCAATCAATCACTCAATCTCACTTTGAAGTTCTTCTAACTAGACTTACCAACTACTCAAAGCTACTCACCATCTCGAATCAGACCCAAGGACCTATTAGCCTCATCCAGTCTTTTAATTCACCTGAAGGCCTTCAAGTCACTGAATCGATCAACTCTCAGTCAGATTCATATCCTTCCCTCCCCATATTCAAAACTCCTACATACTACAAATGCTCACAATCAACAAACTGATCAAGATATTAGAATCACATTAACACTTATCCTCACCTTTCTTAACCCAAGTGAACCTCTCCATTGAATTGCTTATAACTTAATGGTTAATAAGGCCTCTGTATAACTACTTAGTGTATCTTCATCACTCGGAACAGCCCACTTGTATTTTCTCTCCTCACTCAAAGAACTCCATCTCAACTTGCTCTTCCGATCGATTCAACCTTACCACCAGCTTATGAAGATCACCTTTAGACTTACTTCTAAATTCACCCACTAAGCTACACTCAGACTTAGCCACAATATCAACCTAGATCACGTGAATCAAATCAGAACCATTGAATACCTCCCACGAACGATTACTGAGGATGGATACCTCTAATCAATCCTCTAGACTACTAGTACAACTGGATACACTAGATACCAGGTTAGTCCCTCTCTCACTCGTCTCTCCTTCAATCAAAACAAGATCTCTCTAAGCTACAAACTGACCCACTACTATTCTATCTTCCTCTAGTCGATCGAACTCAAGGCCTATAGGTATCATGTCCTCAGAAAGATTCCTCTCTCGTCGAATTCCCTCAGAGGTCAGCTTGAACTCCATCCACGTCAAGAAAAGAAACCAATACCCTCTATATTGACTTTATCTTTTCCTCAATCAATTACTCTCTTCAATTATCATCACATCCATCCTTACAATACTTGCTATTACACCTTACTCCGCACAAATCTTGACTACATAAAGGTCAGTGCTTTCTTCATCTTCCCCTTAGTATTACATCCCTATTAAAGCTTCCTCTTTTCAAATAGCTATCCGTTCGATCGATTCATCATTCTCAGAAGACCAAGACCTCTAGACCTTACTTAATAAAAGCAAAGGTCAGCCTTATTTCTCTATATATACTACTTCTTCAGACTTGTACCAATCTCTCTTTTCTGATACTTACCTAAATCCTTACTTCAACTCCTGATATGATAAATGTAGACAGGTACTATCCTAATTTCTCAAGACCTCAACGTCAAAATTCTTCCTCTCAATTGAAATTTCCTCCTACGCTCAAGCTCCATCTCGAATCGAACCTTCAGATCTACTGTGATCTTATCTAACTACTCTATAAGTTTAATCAAACTTAATAAGTAAGTTAAACTGATTCCATTCCTTCGATTCAACTATCTAATGACCTGGAATGCTAACAATTCTATCTATTTATGTTAGGTTCTCGATGGCAGTCACACCTAATGCCAAGAAGGACTTGGTCCATTGACCTCAATCAACCTCCTCGAAGAAGAGTAAACCCTACAAGGCTCCACCTTCACGCCGTCAGTCTCAAGGTCAAACCAGACCTCCCTCACGACTTTCTCTCACTACATCGTCCACCAATACCCTCATAGCCACTCAGCCCTCCAACAACACGAGCATGGAGTTAGATGAGGACAGCCTTCCCTCTCAAAACAAACAACCTGCTGCTCAACACAACATCAAACCCAATGAATTCCGACAATAAGGGCAAGAACAAAAGACCTGCTGACAATGAGCCCGATTCCGAGAAGTCATCGGACGACAAAGGATCCGACGACAATGATCCTATTGAAGATGCTACAATCCTCAAGAGCACTACGGTCCTTCCTCAAGTTCTTGATAAGATGAAGGCTGTTGATCACTGGTGGTAAAGTTGTGGATCAGACAACTCTAGAAGTGTCTACCATGGCCTATCGTAAGCTACCCTCCTCTTATTTGATTCTCTCATATAGATAAATTACTAACTTAGAGACTTTCAATTATCTTTTCTCTACATTATCCTTATCATCTCCCCGATAATCAACATCATCAAATACCATCTTTATTCGATCGATTGCCTCTCTACCTCAACTCCTTTCTATTTTCCACTTAAAAAACTTATCATCTCAATTAATCTCATATTTAATTACATGATCATCTTCTCACCTCAATCTCTATCAATCTTATCAAACCAGCCCCACCAGGTTCTTTGACTCTATTCACGGTCAATCCCTTATTGAACTCGGCCCCATTCGAATTCGCCTCAACCTCTGATCTCCCTTATGAGCTTCAGTTATGGTGGCAACTATACCACCATCGTCACGTCACCGTTAAAGACACAGATCTCTGGGCTATGGTCACTCTCATCAGCCAACAAACCAAGTCCAACCTTTATGAACTGGTCAAGAAGGTACTCAATCATTCTATTAACTATGTAGAGCTTATTATTGGACCTGGAGCCTCGAAATTCTTTCTCATCCGCTTCAAAGGCACTCGGGCTAAGGAACTTCTTCAAAAAGATAACCGTCACGATCGAGGTGTCTTTGTTTCTTTCTTAGGGTCTCACAAACCTACTTCTTTACTCATCTTCGACTTAGAACCGATTGCACCTACTACTCCTACTATGTCAAGCTTATTAGTGACTATGCATGGTCTCCCTTTCCCTTTACACACTCATCAAATATGTGATACGGTCTGGGGTTCAATTGCTGCAGTTACGAAAAATCACCCTCTTAAACTCACTGGTGTTCGAGAGCTCAGCAAGAAGCCTATCTTTGCTCATGGAGGTGGACGTGTCTTCGAGATCCACTTCGAACAAGCCATGGCTGTTAAATGGCTCAAGTTGTTATCTCGACCCAACAAGTACATTGACATGTTTGGTTGGGATTCAAAAGGAGCTGAGACTGATGAACGATACAACCTTCAAATCAGATTCATTCCTACCTGCTCTCAATGTGGCACAAGCTCATATGATGGAGCTCATCTCCTGGCCTGTCCCTTTGTCAAGATACGTGATTTGATCAGCAAAGCCCTCGGACGTGACTTAGGACCTCGTCAAAAGCCTCTTTTGTTTGATGACACTGAAACTACTACACCAGTCGCATCAACTTCAACCTCAACCTCTACCAACAAACCTGTTAGGAAGATTGGTAACTTTACTGTTAGAGACTGATCAAGCTCTTTTTTAATCTTTTCAAAGTAAGTCTCTTTGTTTCCCCTACTCGATAGAGTGTATATTGATCACTTTACTAACACTAATGATTTCTCTATGTGTTATAGAATAAAAACTCTTCCTTTTCTTTTATTAAAAAAGTAAGTTACCAATCCACTAAGAGTTGTTCTCCTCTTAAAAACATGATCACTAACAATCATGATCTTCTCTTTGTCTGATTCAGAGTCTTGAAGACTTCTACTTGCTTTCTTATCTTAATGTGGAACATTAAGATGAATAAGAAGATCAAATGTTTAAAATTGAATACATGAATGACTCGGAGGTAAATCTCATGTTTACTAAACCTATATCCCCTCTCTTGTTTTACTTAAAAAGAAAATATACAAAAATACAATGTTGTTTCAAAATTAAAAACTACTAAACTACAAAAACATATCAATACCTTTGTAAAAGAACCTGTCTGTTGTCTTCTAAGAAATAAATCCCCACTCTTGTCTTATAAAAAAACCCTGACCAAAAAAGTACTTGAAGTTCTTCCTTGAAAGAAGAGATACCACTGTGAGAAAAGAAATACTCAAAGTATATGATCCTTTAAGACTTTCATCTTTACCCGAGACTTAAGTCATTAAACTTGAGTTCACACTTAATGACACCCATATGAAGAGTGTCTTAATTATTTTTGCTAGAAAGACAAAAAACTCACATCTTAAACACCACAAGAGTTGCAGAAAGGAAAATCTACTAGAAAACGGGGTAGGAGAATTTTACACAGGGTGCTTTACACCGCCCAACCCTGTGTAAACTCGACCCTGTGTAAAAATCGAAGTTAGGGCCTTTTTGTTGAATTTTATACTTATATTTTTTTTTTTTGGTCCGTGTAAGAAAACTCAGTGTAATGATGTTGGTGTAAAATTACGGAACCCGGGCGATACATGTAATTTTACACCGTGGCTTTGACACATAAAGTTACAGTGTAGATGGTTACAGTGTAATAATCCGGGACCGTCCGGCAAGTTTGAATTTTACACGGGGTCCCTTTACACTGACCCCGCTCTGTGTGGAACTGGCCTGTGGTAAATTACCACAGAACCTTTGAAATTATAATTTTACACCATATCCTTTACACCGCACAGCTGCATAGCCCTTCAACGAACAATCCCATGACAACATCCAAACAACACATACCTCAACATATGAGAAGACCAAATATGCAAAGCATACCCACATCTCCGTGAGCCGGAGATTGGATGAATATTGGGATCAATCTGATCCCAATTCGGACCATAAAGGCTGGAGTCAAAAAGACTCTAGAAATTCCAACGCCATATCGGCTAAGACCCTTATTCTCGCTATATATTTTGAAATTGTTTGAAGATTGTTCGAATCAATCAACTGATACGAATCCCAAGATGGGAGACGCCACATCCCACTATGATGGCGACCTTGCAACAGTGGAATTTCCACGGAATACACCTCGAAATCACTCGTCCAGCTTTTCATTTGACAATGAACTGGATGAGTGTGTGTCCAAGTCTTCCTCTTGCGACAAAGAAAAAGTATTCAGTACTTTGTGTGATTCTGTCCCCCGTCAAAAGTGTTATTCCTTAACATCTTTTAACGGTGATCAAGAAGACCTTTACATTCCATCTTCACCTCCGGCCACCATGAGCATTACTTCATCTCCGATTAAAGTCGAAGCAGCTACCGAGAAACCTACGCGGCCAGACCTACATCAAGTCCGTCCGAATCTCCGACTACCTACTGACAAAGGTTTGTACAAAACCTTTGTTGATCACGGTTCCAAAGTAGATGAGGAAAACTATCATCTTTATCCAAACGGCAACACTGTCTATGTCAACGACCCCGAGCATCCTGCCCGGAATTTCCGTTTTATTGCTTGGACCCACACCATGCGAACGGAAACGACCAAGAAAAAAGAGTGGATAATCAGGCAATACTACTGTTTGGGAGTTATAAAATGTACCAACAAGAAATGCCACCTTGCTGCTTCACCTCCAACGTTTCCAAAAAAAACTTGCTGTAGATACGTGAGTCTGCATCTAAGACTCAGTCAAGCTGGTACTTTTGGTGGTAATCATGACTTTCTGATCCTGATTATGATCACGGACAGACTCAAACCCTGTCCTGTCTCTTCCTGCAAAGGATTTCGAAATCATGTCACATGCAATGCTACTTGTCGAGTAGATGTTGAGTTAGACTCAAACGAAGAGGAGGGTTGGGGTTTACTTCGACATCAAGGCACTCATTATCATGAATGGCCCGAGTCCAAGAAGGCGGATCCAATATCTAAAGATAAGCTGAAAGAAAGTGTGATCAGCAACCCCAAGACCGGACCTTTAGCATTGAAGGTATGAGTTCATTCCTTCACATATTTTTTCGAATAAACATGTAATAAATGACCTCTTTGTTTACACAATCTACCATCAGGTTGGACGCGCGCATGTGGGGTCAGAACCGATCAAATCAGTCACGGATATTCATCCTTCTTTTGGCCACGCTGATCGTCTAGGCTACCTTCGACGTGATTTTCTAGCCCAGGCCGGTATAATGACCAACACCCAAGACCCCAAAGCAGGTGATAAGTGGCTCTGTACCATGATGGATTGGTCACGGTGAGCAACATCAAACTTTCTCGTAAAGAAAGTTTGATATAGCCTAATGCTTTGATAATCATAAATCTAAAGGCACAACCCAGTTTCTTGGCAAAAGTGGATAAAACCCCTTAAGCCCTTAACAAGCTGTACACCTAAGACTCCAACCCTCTTAGGCTCAGCTGTTCCCGACCCCACCTCTCTTAATGGCCTGTCAAACCACTGTAATCCACCAAATCAAACCCAATCAAGTCCCAGAAGATGTTCATCACGAGTTAAAAACCAATCCAAAGTCAATCAGAATCAAATCTAAATTCAGATGAAGAAGAAGAAAACATACCTTCTTCACCTTCTTCACCTTCATCAGATCATCATCGAAAGAAATGTATTCCCGATGGATTTCAAGATTGATCGTTACCTCATTTCCATAAACACTACACAAAATGTCATCTTTACCGGGCGGTAAAGAAAACTACTGACATAGAAAAGTCCTGAGGCAACAGGAAAAGAGCTAAAAATCTGAAAAAATATGCACCTTGTTCCTAGACGTTGGGGCGTCATGATGAGAATTTTTTTGTATTTTACACACAGATATTGGTTAATGTACTAACAATAAAGGCTGAGAATCATCAAAAACCCACCTGTAACAATACCTGAAATTTGGCCCTTGACTTCGAAGACAGGATTTTGGAATCTTCAAACATCAATAACTTTTTCAGTTCAGAATCAAATCACTCAATTTGAAGTGCATCAAAAAGGTGAGCCTTTCCTCTACATTTTTCATTGAGACATCACATCTGTAGCTGGTCTAAAAAAGATCCTACAGAGCTATTCATGCAGAACTGTTTGAACATATGTAGAGTGTTTAAATGACTAGATAGCACCTTACTAACATTATGAAGTGTGAAGGAGAATAGTTCAGCTTTTGAATGAACCAAAAATCGAGTTATTTGGAGCAGAATTGCAAAAGTTATTGAAGTTTTTAGACCACAAAATATTGTCTTCACACTCATGACCCAAATTTCAGGTATTGTTATATGTGAGTTTTTGATGATTTTCAGCATTTATTGTTAGTACATAAACCAATATCTGCGTGTAAAATACAAAAAAATACTCATCATGACGCCCCAACATCTAGGAACAAGGTGCATATTTTTTCAGATTTTTAGCTCTCTTCCTGTTGCCTCAGGACTTTTCTATGTCAGTAGTTTTCTTTACCGCCCGGTAAAGATGACATTTGGTGTAGTGAAAAAAGCCAAGGAGCCACCCGCCAAAGGATTCGTTCGTAACAGTTTTCATTCAGGTCTTCGAGCCACAGAATTTCTCTTTCACGCCATCTCTGGAAGAGAAGGTCTGGTAGATACGGCGGTCAAAACTGCAGAGACAGGTTATATGCAACGTTGACTGATGAAAGCATTAGAAGATCTTTACACTCGGTATGACGACTCTGTGCGGAATTTGGTTGGAGGTGTGGTACAATTCACATACGGTGATGACAGATTAGATCCAACGTATCTTGAAGGAGATGGAGAACCGGTTGAATTCGCTCAAACATGGCGTCATTCCAAGGTATCAAATTATTTTCCGCATTGAATTCGGTCCATTATCTTCTGACATCTTGCAATCACAGGCCACTATCTCACATCTTGACGGTCGAGGTTTATATCCATATGAGATTGTACAAACAGTGGCCAATTGACTTGCTGAGCCTCGGTTCGCCAAAGCTTGTACAACCCAATTCACAGATTCAGTTTTGAATTTCATTACCAACTCAGTAGCCAAACAAGCAGCTACTTATCGAGCGAGTTATGGAATGTATGATTGGGATGAGGAGACTGATCTATCAGCTGGAGTTACCGGTAAGTGTTTCTATGGTTGGTCTGTTTTGTTTATTTGCTCGCATCTTGATCATTTTTGTATGGTTGATTGTGGTGGCTTCAGATGCAAGTGAGAAGATAGTTGCAAACAAGACACAGGTGACACTCAAGCAAATCGATACCTTCCTAGACTATTGTTGGGTCAAATACGTCAAGGCAAAATTGGAGCCTGGTAAGTACTTTGTGCGAGGTAGTCTCCATGTGGAGCCGTCTAAACTGACGGTCTTGGTTTTACATACATATAGGCACAGCAGTTGGTGCAGTTGGTGCACAATCCATTGAAGAACCAGGAACACAGATGACTTTGAAGACTTTCCATTTTGCTGGTGTTGCTTCTTCAAGAAAAGAAAAGTTCAGTTAGTAATATGTAAAGAAAAAAGACATTAGAAACAACTTACAATCATGAATTAAAGTCGGTCAAAAGTTCAGTCAATCGAGTTTAGGAGAACAATTTAAACCAACAAAATCGAGTAAATTGAAATAGCTTGATTTTAGAAATTTGAAGTCAGTCGAGATTGAATGGATCAATCTAGAAAGAGAAGAGAAAACGTTGAAATGAAATAAAGTAAACAAAATCATTTTTAAGAGCATCCACTATGGGTGCGGTAACCAAGTGATTTATCGTAACTTTAACGCTAAATTATACACAGGTCCGCTATGGACCTGTTTTAGACTTGCGGTCCGTACGACTGCATCAAATCTTGCTCTCCGTGTGTTCAAATCTACGCAAGCCTACGGCTTGATTTATCGTAGGAAATCAAGTCAAAACTACTGTTCCCAAAACTTCAAACTGCATATGAAACTTCATTTCTCAAACTTCAAACATCAAAACCTCACTTTTGAACTTCAAATTTCAAACTTCATCCTCAAATCTCAACTTCGAGATATCACATCTCGGAACATTGCACTTTGAATTGAATCGATTTCAATCACAACATCACCCTATATCTTAATCTTTTGCGAGACACCTTAAGAATTGAGGTGCACAATAGTCAATTGCTGAGTAGGCTGAGCTCGAGCTCAATCTGTTTGGAATTGAGTCTGAAATGGTGAAGGTGGTGTGTGAAGCCTATAAAACAAGATTTCTAGACAAGTTGCTCAAATTCTTGATGTTCCTCATCATTGTGGTTTGAAGACTTCAAAAGACAGTCGATGTGTCTCTTCAAGGAACTTGTAGTGGGCATCTGATGGATGGTTTTTCGGATGGGATTTGTGAGAAAGATATGATAAATCATCGCAAAATCAAACCACTGTGGATCTGGTTGATTCACAGTGATTTATCGTAGTTAAATCAGACATTACATCAATCCGTAGTGGATTTCATGCGGTTACCAACTTAGGTAAAACACGCGTGATTAAATTTCGCGGTCAGGAACGCAAAACTTACGATAAATCACCATCATGATAGTGGATGCTCTAATAGACTCAAATAGATAAATCAAATCGAGAAGAACAATTAGTCAACCAAACAATCAAAATAAGAAAATGAGAAGGAAAGAAGAGAACTTACGATTTGAAATCAAATCAATTGATCGGACGCAATCCAACAGCAAAGATGATTTCACTTTAAAATCAAATCATTTGACACAAATCAATAAACCTGAAAATCAAAAAAAGAAATCAGATAAAGAAAGAATCAAAATTGGAAAATCAAACTGATTGATCTAAATTAGTAAAAGAGTCAAGTTAGAAAATTAAATTAGCCAAAACAACTTGATCAAACCAGTTTAAAAATACAAAATCAAATGAGAATGGGAGAAGAAAGGAGACACTTACATCATATTTGATTTGAAAAGCCAAATTTAAAGGACTGCTGATGTAACATGATAGGAGTTGGAAATAACAAAGGAATTGGTTAGGAGGTGAAGTTGAAAGGGTATAAAGAGCAGGATTGTTGGGATTTCTTTTTTCTTCTTTTGATTCATCTATTGGTGTGGCTGTGTGCGTGCTTGTGTGTTTCAAAGTTTTTGTCTGTTTATTAGTGTGTTAGTGTTTTCTTAGAAGTGTGATCTCAATTTAAAGTGTTAACCCTTATAAGGGCAGTGTCATTATTTTATTGCCAGTGTTAAAGTTTGATATTGGGAAATTTCCAAGTGTGAATCACATTTAAAGAGTGTTCTTTATTGTTCCATCTCCAGTTGAAAATACCTTCTTAGTCTATGAGTGCACAGATTATTAGCGGTTGTATCTTTTTAGTAGACTGCAGAAGGTCAATCAAATTCCTACCCATCATTAACCTCCTCTATTAAAAAGCTCTTCTATATTTTTAATATTTTTTTAGTTCTCTTGAAATATTCTTAGTGTTGGAACCTTTTGGAAGAAAGTTGATTGTGAAGCATTATCAATTCCTGGTACTTTTTTGTATAGGGAAGACAAGGATGATGTGACACAGTATTTATAGATTGATAAAACACACTACCTGATCTCAAGTCAATCTGAGATCTCTACAACCACTTCAGTCCATGTTTGGAATGAAAAAGGTTTGATTAATTACTCTTCAATACACTTTTTTTCTCAAAGACTGAATTCCCAATAACCATCATTTGTAGCAGAACAAATCCAATTGAGGGAGATGAATAATCAAAAGCAAAAGAGAGAGCCAATGATGAGAAACATGATGAGGAATCAAAGATTGAAGATGAGGAAGATGAGGAAGACAGCTCTTCTACTCCTTCTGCCCCCAGAAACAAGATAGTAAAGAAAGAGTTATGTGATCAAATGAACACAATAGGACATGTTTGGACCAAGTTTGATATCAAGGTTTTTTCCTTTCAGAAACCAATTGTAAATTGCTTTTGGGGTTACTTTGGAATAAAGAGGCAAATGAGGTTTCAGATGCAGATTAAATTACTTTCCAGAAAGGAATTTGTGGCCAAACTGAGGCTCCTTCATCTTGCAGTCACTTTCAAGTCAGTCTGAAAATCCTCTAGGTTCATGTGTGTTCACAAAGCTGATCTCAACTTCATATCTATGAAAAACAATAGGAAGTTGTTTGACCCACATTCCATGGATCGATTTTCTTCCCTTATACCTTGCTGGCCAGTTTTGAAACCAAGACTAATGCACAACTTGATTCTGTTTGATCAGTTTTTTTGAAAATTTTTGGTCACCAAAGAACATTCACTTGACTCCATTCCAAAATGGTTTGATTGGATCAAAGTGGGCATTGATGCAGATGATTTACCAATGAACATGGGATGTTAGATTTTACACAGTCCTGGCAAATTTGTATGTATAGACTGAAATTTGGTGATGTTTATGGCTTTTCATATGTATGTATGAGAGCCCCTGACAATACCCGAACCGCTCCGCTCAAAATAGTGGTTTCGGAGCGGTTTTGGCACCCGCTATAGCCTCCGTGGTCTATAGCGGTGCCCGCGCACCGAACTCACGAGCCGGATTTTTCCGTAGCAGATTGACCGCTGCGAAATGGATAGGGGCCTTGGGCTCTCCGCTATATAGCGGACACCAACCACAGGGGAAAAAATAAAAGCTCACATAGATGTGAGCAGAGGGTACCTTCCTGATAACTCCAAAAATGTTTCAATTTCCTTCAGATTCCTTCAATTTACCATTTTGGTGGTGCCAAAGTGCTCAGCCTGTAATACTTAGGTATTGCTTGAGTTTGCTCAAGCGTGCTCATCTTCATCTTGGATGAGCATCTCTTGAGCATGGATCATCCATTGGATGAGTGCTCAGGACCCAGCTGACACATCACTGTATACTCAGAATCACCTTCTGGGTAAAGTATTGGTTTTCTAATACTTTACTCGATACGGTATTGAAATCAACGATACCATCCCAAGGACCTGGAAGTAAAGTATCAGTCAGACCGATACTAAGTATCGAGATACTTATACTGCAAAAAAAGTTACTTTACCGTTACTTTACTGTAAACAGTTAAGTAACTGTGGCAGCGTTGATACAAATCAGGAGGATCCAAATGATGTCACTGAGTATTGGCTGAGGGGCTGCTCAGCTATTCATCAGTGGCATTCCTGGGATTGGAAGTATCCAAAAGATGTCACTCAGTATTGGCTGAGGGGATGCTCAGTTCAGTGCAGCAGCTCAGCTAGTCCTCAGTAATATTCCTGGGATCAGGAGGATCCAAAGGATGTCACTGAGTATTGGCTGAGGGGCTGCTCAGCTGTTCCTCAGTGGCATTCCTGGGATCAGAAGTATCCAAAGGATGTCATTGAGTATTGGCTGAGGGGCTGCACAGTTCAACTCAGCTGCTCACCTAGTCCTCAGTGCCATTCCTGGGATCAGAATTATCCAAAGGGATGGTTCCCTTTGTGTTTTTCACATTTGGTTGGGTCTCTCACCGCTCAATCACATTTGGTCACTTGACTGTGCAGGCTGAGCATTGGAGGGCCCAAGATGACCTGAGCAGATGAGCTAGCCCTCCCTCAGGCTTCTTGGTTGAGGGATAAAGCCTGAGGAAGGCCTAACTCATCTGCTCAGGACATGCTGACCATTTGATCAGATGATGAGCTGAAAGAAAACTGGAGGAAAATTGGAAGAAATTTGGAAACAAGCTGGAAACAATCTTGGAGAAACCTCCAAACTTTCTCTGCTCACATCTATGTGAGCTTCTATTTTTCCCCCTGTGAACCACGATGAACATCCGGAATGGCTAATTGTCTGTTGTTTACCTTTTCATATGAATTTCATCCTGATTTCTGGAAACTGACTGTTGCTTTTCAAGACTAATGCATACAAAACAGTCAGGTGATCTGTGTATGATGGAGAACAACTAACGATTGTAGCTCAAAGTCTTTACAAGCTCGAACCAAACCAAATTCTGCAAGAAAGATTATCTCAAATTTGTGCTACAGGCTAACTGGCGGGCATTGTTCAAAGACAGCATACTTTCCACTTCAGCTCACATCCAACGACTAAGGAGATCAATTTTGAAGGCTTGGAATGGGCTCTCAAAAGAAAAACAAAAGGGAAAGTTTCAATCAAAAGTAAATGACATCAATCATCAATCTTCAATTTCTAATCCATTATCCAAAAGTTTACCATCTGAGGTATTTGGTTGTTTTTTTTATTTCTTTCAACTAACTACAAAATCACTTCTTCATATTTCCCTTTCTTGATTGTCTCTCTTTTGATTTTTGGGTTAGCTTATCGATTGGATTCTAATCCAACGGTGTGGTGAGATCGAAGGAGAAGTCTTGAATGAACTCTCTTGTCAAAGTTCTCCGTCGGATTCGATCGATTGGGGGGAATTGGTGCAATGTAGGATTAAACTTCGACAAACTCTGGCTTCTACTCAAGATGATTTACTTTGTACAAGATTGGTAAAGGATTTGATCTTGTAATCACATGATATTATCATCTTGACTGGCTGTTTTTGGAATGTTTTGGATCTGCATCTTTAGTCAAAGAATCATCCTGGAAGAGAAAAGGTGATGGAACTTTATCAAGATGTTTTTGATTTACTCAACTCATCCTGCTCATCATCATCATCAAGTCACATCTTGAGTTTTTTTATTACACATGTTTTTCTTTTTTCTCATGCTTTTCCTTTTCTAAGACACTATATCTACTCTTCCACCTGTCCCTGCCCTATAGGCTTGGTCACGTACACATAGATTTGAAATATTTTTTTTGCTTTGCTTGTACATCATCAGCGCGAAAATGTGCTATAGAGCAAAAAATAGCGATTTCTTCGCTCCGAAACATCGCAAGGTTTTTTTTCTTTAGAAATAGCGATCTTGAGCGGAGCGATTCATAGCGCCCACTCCGATACAATATGAAAATGGTCCAAATTCCATAGCGTATCGGAGCGGTTCGGGTATTGCCCCTGAAACCCTGCACAGAACACCAGATGGCGGCGCCCGCCGCCTAATTTGCTAGTACCTACAGGAAAGGCCTGAATGTTATTTCTTCATCTGTGGCCGGACATGATGCTCACATAAGTTTCCAGACAAAATGGATGTCGGAAGTTTCAATTGAACCAGACGAGAAATCCAACACGTATACGGGGGGTCTTCTATCAGACGTGACTTATTGTTTTTTTAAAAATGGTTACTTATTGACCACTTCAAAGTACTGTGAAACTTTAAAACAATGGGTACCTGTGCTATTTTCATGGCTCGGCGGACTGTTTGCGGAACACTACAAGATCCATTTCAAAAATCTACTACAACAGATTCAAAATACTGATATGTCCGAAAAGAACAAGGGGATGATGGTTGAACAAGTAGTGGATTTTTCTCTAGCTCAGAAAATCGGCTTTCAGGACGCGTACATGGAGGTCTTTAATTGCCACGATAAAAATGTAGCGTTATCTAAATTGCATGGATGTAGATGGCACTTCCATCAGTCTGTCACTCGAATTCAGAAAAATCGTAAGATTGTCAACTTGAGGCAGGTGGTGAGTCAATCTTCTGTGACGATTTCTCATCAACACAGATTTATCATCATATCTGACGAATTCCTTGTGGAATTTATACTCTAATGTACTTTCCAAACAGGGCACCTGGGAGAAGAAATGTAAGGAATTACTTCTCCCAGACGGACCCGGTTTACCAGACCTTAATGCAAGGTTTGACAAATTACGCCGGCTGTTCCCTCTAGCCAAAACATGGCTAGATTGGTGGGGGGCTGCCGACATCCAAGCAATGTTATTTCCCGCTCGAAAGCGGATGCCGGAAGACGATCCTCCCTTGCCCGGCAAAGATAACGACGACGAAGAACTTGCTCCTTGAAGACGTCCGGACTTGCCTATGACTACGAATGGACAAGAGTCCATGCATCGTGTCTATTACATCCTGTGGTAAGTTTTCTTTCAAAATATATAATTTCTTCTCTCCGATTTGATCTGATCCTTTTAGAAAAAAATAGCTGATGCCAGTGGTTACTTTCACACTCAGTGATGGCAAATGCAATGTGATACCTGGTATCATTCAGCTAATTGCGTTTGCCCAGTGCATGGAGAAGGATTACCATGCAGTTCAGAAGGGCATTTCGATCACGTATGGTGGCACCTCCCATGATACTTGGGAGGAAGTTGTAACCGCCTTAGGAATGGCACCGCCAACCAAACGGAAGTACACTCGCAACGACGGCCATGCACCTGACACTACCGACAAACTGCTCGACAAAAAGCATAGCAAACCCAAGAAATTAGGTCGACCTGTTGGATCCCAGAACGTCAACCAAAGTGCCATGACCACTTATCAATCTTACACCGCTGGGACGACGGCGGGTTCTTTGAACCGGTGTTGGCAGACTGCCACTCTCGAAAGCCTTTACGCCCTTTTTGGCCCCTCTTGGAGTCGATATGCAACGGTGAACAGCTCGAATTTGGTCAACGTACTCATGCGCCATTTCACAGCATGTTGCAACTTTGAAATTGCTGCGGATGGCTTTTCCCAAAGCATGGCACATTGGCAAAGGCTCATTCACAAGGCGGTCCAAGCCAGATCTATCTTGTATGCCAACGACGCCTTGTCTTCGGCTGATGGCTTTATGGAGCTATTATTAGAGACTGCTGCAGACAAAAAGTCTTCTTTGAGTCCTCTATTTGAATACACCATGAAGAAAACGGTCTCTTGTCTTTGCAATTCGAAACATATTCAAGTTACCAACCAACGTCGAGCAATCATCAGATTGATGAGTGACAGCTTCACAAATGCGAAAATTCCGTACGCCAACGTTCACAAGTTGATATCTACGTGGCTTTCGGAAGGTTTTACCAAAGAAGGGATATTGTGCCATCAATGTCACACCTCGGTGCCAAAAGTCTCCCGTGAAAACGTGAATCCAGTCATAAAAAATCCGTCATTTGTGCAAAACAACTTCACCATTGTCATTGATCCACAGTCGGCACCTCTTCATCTATACTTCTACTTGGACGGCGTAGCTGGAATGACGGCGGACGAGCGCAAAAGTTATCAAGGCAAAACCAACTGGCCGGCTCGAATGGTGCTTGGTGGGGTGGATTACATGATGGTTGCACATGGTTAATGGGCAGACTTTCATTATTATTGTAGGGTAATCAGGTCCATCGGCGGTATTCTGGGTGTATGGCACTTCGACGAGCGTGAAAATGGAGGTATCGCGCAGCTGGAAGGTACTGATGTCACCAGCATAGGTGGCTGTTCTCCTTCCACCAGCTGGATTTTCTACTCTCGGATGCCACGGGGTGATGAATTGGCCCATATTGAAAAATCTATTCGTGACCTAATGAAGGTATTTCCTAATAAGCACTCCACCATCCCCTTTTCCATGCCAACTTGCACATTTCATTTTGGAGGGGGACTCCCTGAAGAAAATCACGCTCAAGATCAAGAACCTTTGAATACATCTGATTTGAAAACATCGGACGACATCAAGGTGAAGGAAGCCAAGAAGGGAGTCAAGAAGGGGGTCAAGAAGAAAGAAGTTAAGAAGAAGGAAGTCAACAAGGAGGAAAATATTGAACTCGATGATTTTGAAGACCCAGCCGCGGCCGCCGTGAAAGTGGACATTGATAATGACGTCGCCACACTTGCACCTGCGAGAAAATCTAAACCAGGTAGAAAAAAAGCTTCTTTAGATATTGATGATCCAAACAGCTAACTGACGATTCCTTTTCTCTCTTTCCGACAGCAACGCCCAAAAAGCGTCAGGCCAAGTCACAGGCTTCCAAGGCCCCCGTTTCCAAGGACACAAAAGTTAAGAAAGGTGTGCATCCAATCCTCTGTAGTCACTTTGATTGTCTCAGCTGATTTGTTTTGGGTGTTCAGCAGAAGCACCTAAGAAAGCCAATTGGAAAGGCTGGGTGGTTCTTGAAGATGGGGATGACGAGCACGTCAAAGAAGATGATGTGGTGGTATCAGAGGGCGAGGAAAAACCCAGAACAAGGCGCCAGCGACGTGCATGATGTTTTTTTGCTTGTATCTTTCCTTCTGTTGCTATAAATAAACTTGATGCATACATGATGTGAACTGTCATTTGATATCAAGTGACAGCAAATGATTTTCTGTTTTTTTTCTGACTTGAAAGAAATGTTAAAATGTCGGTGTTATAGATTCTGCGAGACGGTGTAAAATTACACTTTCAATGCGTTAAAATTTATTTTACGCTGGCTGTGTTTACACAGGCCGCCTTGGTGTAAAGTGGACTCAGTGTAAAATTCTACTCTACGCGGCTAGTCTTGATTTTTACGCTGACATCTTTTACACCGTAACTTTTGGTGTAATAAGCTCAGTGTAAAATTCTAAGTATCAACCGGGTTCCGTACTTTTACACTGACCTCTTTACACCGATTCCTCTTACACGGGCAAAAAAAATGAAAATATGTATAAAATTCAAAAAGAGGGCCCTAACTTCGAATTTTACACTGGGTTGACTTTACACCGACTAACACGGTGTAAAGCACCCTGTGTAAAATTCCACCTCCCCCTAGAAAACCAAAATGTATTGAGAAGAATCAACTCATACAAAGATGGTAGAAAGGCTACATGAATGTTAATCTTTCCCTGAAGATATCCAAGTAAGATGAAGTGGATATTCAAGGCAAATCTCTTCCATCTCCAAGACAAAGATGGGGGTATGGATCAAGAAATTAGACCCACCAGAATAGATGGATTGTTTAAGATCAACAGAGACCATACCCAAAAACAAGTATAATCTTTGTATAAACCTTTTTAAACAAAAATACTTATAAAGATAGGTATGCTTTGTGGTAAAAGGCCCAGAAAGTCCAAAAAATGGGGGGTCAAGTAGGGGCTTCCCGTGAAAAACTCTTGACCAATTTATGACAAAGATTTATACAAAACTACAGGTTGAAAACACCTACAACTGTTTTTGGTTCAGAGAGACCTTACTCTTTATAGGTCGTGCATATAAGTTTGACACGTCCTAGAGCCACCTGAGAGGGCTTCAACTCTCAGGCTCACAATGCAACTATGATTAGCACACCCTCTAACATTAGTTGTCCGGGATTGGGTGAGACGAGCCCCGGCTCCCTGTCAGTTGTGGAGGGACTGAACTTGTATAATGAATTGCCTCCGCCAGATTTTGTTGATCCTCCTCAGGGCATATCTGGGACTAACGCTACTGAGAGGACTTGTACTCATTGTTCCCCTAAGGATGAGTGTCAAGTTAAAAAGGTTACTTTTGGGGTCTGTCCTCCTTTGGTCCACCAGGGAGAAGGCCTGTCATCTGCTACTGGCGGCGTTGGCTTGAACTCTACTAACAGAGAAAAGGCAATGTTAAGTAATCCTTGTAGACATGCTGTTACACCTACAACAGATAAAACTCCACTTAGACAATCACAGTCTATCACCCCTGGCCCTTCATTGAGCACAGCTAAAACATCAAGAACAGTAATCCTTGACACAAATACTGTAGCCGCAGAACAACCTGAAACATCAGGAAATGTGCACACCTACTTTGAAAAAGGTAAATGGAAAGCAAATCCTGTAAACTCAAATGTGCAGAACAACAACACATCCATCTCCAACTCAGAATTGGCAGACATCATTCAACGTAAAAGGTGTAATGGTGAAATGCTCACAAGACAAGAGTTATTTGCAAAACTCACATCTGATCGCAATACTATGGTTAAAAAAGTACAGCCCGCACAAACTTTGACTATAAGCAGGAACCGTCGGTGAACGATTCCCAAACCAAAACCTCCTCATTTTGAAGTTTTCACCATGGAAATAGACAATAATGAGATTGAGTTGGACTCCTGACCCAATGACACACCTATGGACATTGATCCCATAAAATCAAATCCAAAACTACCCTCATATGCAGATATAGTAAGAAAGAATACTACATCCTCTCAAACGCACAATACCAAGTGCCTGCAAAGTACTTCATCACTAACGTGCAATAAAGGCGTCAAGCAAGCTGAAATCAAATATAACCTCAAAAAGTCAGTAAAATTCACCCTCAACAACACTGGAAACTGCACCAGTGTTGACGTGTGGACAGTCATAAGACACAGACTGACCGAAGCCCAATGCAAGAAGGTTGTTGGCGTAATGAAGCGGAACAATCCATTCCAACAACCCGCCTTTGATATCTGTGTGTCACCAGATATTGCACCAGGGTTCATCAAGATGATGCAACTTACCCCAAGAGAACACCCATGTGGAGTACCTCGAATCTTTTGTCGCAGAACAAGACAACCCAAATGTGATGGACCTAACACCACAAACTGCTTTAACACAACCAAATGGCGTGTTAACTTATATAAGGCATACCGAGATGATGTCCCTGTATTTGCCACATCCATCCCCAAACCTCCCAAAGTGTCCTCAAAACCAACTGGGTACACCTCCCTCCTTGCATGGAATGCTAATGGCTTCAACAACAAAGCAACAATTCTTGCATCTCTAGCTAGTCAAGTAACAGCTGGAATAATTGTCATCGGGGAACACCATAGGACTAACCTCAAATACAAACCCAAACTAGATGGGTATCGGACATACTCACACCCAGCCGAACCCGGTTTTTTTGGCCTCTGTATGATGGTCCGTAATGATATAGGTGCTTATGAAAAGCCCACAAAAGACCCTAGAATACAACACCTAGTAGTCACACACCTTGAGCCAGATAGCCTATGGCACATCTTTGGCGTATACCTTCAGTCCGGATCCAAAAAAGGACAACACCGCACAACCCAACTTGAACCAGTTTGGGAAGAAATCAATGATCTCCTAGAAGAAGATCCCAACTGCAAAATTGCCGTTGGTGGCAATTTTAACATTCCTACAGACAAATTAGCAAAAGCTGCTTTGAGACAAACCGGCGGCCGTATGAGCATCAAACCCTGCTGCGGCTCAAACTTTACTCGTCTCCCCAAAAGAGGTAGATTCAATGATATTGATCATTGGTTAATCTCACCAGCATCACAAGACATTACTTGTAAAACCAAAGTGAGTCGACAGATGTCACTGAAATATGATGGTGCAAGTGATCACGCAGCCATAAGCATGAAGATTCAAAAGAAATTCAATAACCCTCCACCACCTAGTCTCAAATGGGACTTAAAAATACTCAAAGGACATGCAACTGATGTCCTCACAGACGGGGCATGGAAGACATTCCCCAAAACAGGTACTCTTGAAGAAAAGAGCATTGCATGGACATCTAATCTTGTAGAGTCCGCCTCAAAGTGGGGTGCCGCAAGATATGCAAAACCCCCACGTGCTGTTCACTTCCCACGGAACATAGCAAATCTCCTCAAGAATGCCAGAAAAACCAAGGCACTCTACCAAGACACATTGGGAAAGAAAACTCCTCTCAGTGAACTTACCAAATTAACCAACTATGCTGAAAAAGCTAGCAGACTTGCTAAAACAGCTATCAAAAAGTTTGAAAAAGATCAGGCCAAGAAAAAGGCTGAAAAAACCAATAAGCATCTTACAGATAATGAGATGCTTGACTTCCACGCGGCTATCAAAGCTGTACTTCCAGATCACCTTGGGAAGAAACAAAGTCACCCCATGCCCTGTAAGAACCAGGCCGGGGACCTATGTGTCACCAACAAAGACATTGCAAAAGCTGAGTTTGAACACTTCAGTACTCTATCTCACGACACCACTGGCGTATCACAAGACCCCTTATACTGGGTAAATCTCACATGTGATGACCCAAAACTTGAAGAACTACCAATTGGGGGACCTATAACCCCCCAAGACTTCCTACAAGCCTGCAGCAGGCTCAACAAAAATGCAGCGCGTGGGCATGACAATATTCCACCTGCAATCTTCAAAGAAATATTGAAACTAGAAAGAAGTCAACATATTGGCTCACACCCCCCAAAGTCAAAAGACAAAGACAAGGAACCACAGAAAAGACCAAACCTCTCTATACCCCACTACAACACTCCTGAAAATGGTAATAACGTTAAATCTTTAGTATCTCGAAATGAAGAAGACAGATATGCAGCGTGGGAATGGGCAGATAAGCCCCTTCCTAAACCTTGGAAAACAAGACCAGCCCGGTCATTAATAGAAACAGATCTTGGGCGCTTCTACGACCCATTAGACCACATCTACCACCCTGTCCCAATCAAAGATATGGATGGGGGTCTTGAGACACCTGCTGGAATCCAGGCTCTTGATATCCTAAACACAATGCTGGAAAAAGGAACACCAGCCCCAGGCGACTTTGAGAACATTGTCATCTCACTTAGCAAACCTGGAAAAGATCCAATACATCTATCTAACCAACGAGGAATAACACTTTCAACTGCTTTCCTCAAACTCATTATGACTATCCTGGAAGATAGGATGAGCTCAGAACTCAATGGGGCAAAATTCTTCACCCCAGACCAAGGAGGCTTTAGACGCCTTGAAGAAGGAATGGGACAATTCCTCTCACTCACTGAAGTTGTTCGCCCGAAGAGCCAACATTGACAAACCTACATATGTCTTGTATATTGACTTTCAAAAAGCATTCCCAAGTGTACCACACGAAGCGCTTTGGAAAAAACTCCGCCACTTAGGAATCCCGGAAAATATAATCACATTCCTAGACAATACCTACAAAGGAAGTACCTTCCGCATGAGAGTTGGTGATGAACTCTCCGACAAGTACCCTATGGAAATAGGGACCAAAGAAGGTTGCCCTCTCTCACCCCTTCTATTCATCATTTTTGTAAATGATCTTTTCCACAAATTACCCGGAGTCATAGTACCGGGTATAGGTGAAAACTACAACGACATAGGTAAGCTATATGCCGATGACGCTGCAGCCTTCTTTGACAACCTTGAAGACCTTGAAAGAGGTTGTCAACTTATCACAGAGTGGGTCAGTAAATGGCAAACACTCAAAATTGGACATGCCAAATTTGCGGTCGTAATGCACGGAGAAAAAGACCCTGAACTCCGCAAAGCTTTCTTGGACAAATACGGAGAACCAAGTAAATACACAGGTGACAACAAAGGTCACTTTACCCTAACAGATGGCAAAGTCTATGCCCAATCCTCTTACAAATACCTAGGCATTGACATAGGCGACAACCTTGGAGTAGGCTATGATGCAGAAATGGCCTACACAATCACACTAGCAAAGAAAGTACGACAAAAAGTTGCTCAATTTGCATGTATATTGAAAGATCCTCGCCGCACCCTTGCAGAAAAATCTTTCCTAATCAAAACGTACATTCTATCTGCCGCATTATATGGTGGAGAATGGATTGGGATGAATCAAACACAAACATCCATTGTACAAAAAGAAGTAGATCACGCACTCTACTTGACAATTGGCGAAAAGTGGGCATGCAAAACTATCTGCCCTGTCAGACTCTCATGGGAGCTTGGTGTCCCATCAGTTGCAGCAGCATGTGCAGCCGCCCGCTATCGCATCTACTCCAAATCTGCGTCAATGATGACTGATGCAAGTGATATCTTGTGCAATCCAACTCAAGGAGGTAAAAAGAAAACATGGACCTCCATCACCCGCTCTGAAACCTGTCGTGCATACACTGCAGTCTTCTCTCCTCCATCTAATATAAATGAAAACTCTGCGGAGAATCCAAAATCAATACTTGAAATTCCTGCCATGATCAAAAAAGGCTTACTAGCACAAGCCATTGAATACCCCAAGAAGATACCAACTACTTGGATCACTGCCCATGGGAATGATGAATCCCCGGAAAAAATTAAAAATGAGATACTCGCCGTAAAAGCATATCAATGGGCAAAAGCACTCACACCCGCTAAACTTCAAGGTCCAACTGAACAAATGGATTATGAAAAACATCAATACGGCTTAACTCAAAACTTTCAAAAAGCCGCTCTAAGGTACCCATACCTAAAAGATGGTGTACTGCTACTAGTGAAGGCAAGATTGGGAATACTTCCTCTTGCAAAAACCCGATATGAAGCCCTTGAAAAATCAAATACACTAAGGGCAGAAGCATCATTGCTAGATCCAACTACATGTCCCCTTTGTCGTAAGAAAAGACGAATGGGTAACACCATGAAAGATGAAAACGAACTATCTCACATCTTTCTCTGCTGTAAAGCTCTTAAAGAATATCAAAAAGAACATCTTAGGGACATTGTGAAAAAACTTCGTAAGTGTAAAGAAGTTAAAACTTTAGGTGAAATCAATCAGAGAGATATGAAGATAACCAACTACTTGATGGGCGGGTATTGTTCCGCCTACGGGCCTATCGTGGGAAGTCTGAAAGATATACTACAGGACATGAACTCATCTGAAAGATTCATGTTTCTGTGGCAACACGGGTATGGCAACATAACCGGTATTCAGCCGGAATGTATGGAGTTGTATGGATTTGTCCCCGTAGCACGATTCTTGAGATCAGCTTTTGGTTTGTACCAGAAGGCGATTGATAGTTTCTATCAGTCTACACCAATTGCAAACACATTGGTAGACATGTAGTCACATATTGTACTCATGTTGTGTCCTCTGTGATTATGACAACTGGCCAAGGGACTGTAAAGTCTATGGCAACATCACGCGCTGTGGAAAGGGAGTTTACCGAGTAAAAGTCTCGAGTCGTCAGCCTCTGGCAAAGGCAGCTCTAAGGGTTGATTCCCCTTTAGAGTCGTGGGATGAGTGTTTCCGTAATTAAAATCTCATCCTCGGACGTATGAGGTAACACTGTGATATTAGAATGCCCCTGGGTTCT